TGATTAGGCGAATCAAACGAACCCGAGTTCGCAAAATTCTGAAGATCGGCGAGATATCGTTGCCTCACGATCCGTCCATCATTTTGCGACCTTTCATACAGATATAGGTCATGTATATTAAGTCAATCCGGATAATTATGATTATCCGAATTGACTTAAGCCTTAATTCACTACACAGCTTTAATGGTCTCCTAAATTAGTTAAAGATCTACATGTATATCATGTGGTTCGACTAAAATATGAGATCATGAAAAAAATAAATTTTATGATGAGAAAAATGCGCGTAGTGTTGAAATCATTACACAATTCAAAGAAAAATTACACTGAGTTTATAAATGAGGTAAGTAAACCATTTTTAAAGTGCAAGCATGATGTTTTAATACCATTAAGTTTTTCAAAATAGATTCGGACTGCTCTAAAGTGCATTAAGAAGCCTGTTATTGAATATTATGGATAACTAAATTCAGCTACAAAATGAATACTCGATGATGCTGACCTTTGCAAATATCATTGTTAGTTTTCCAGGAAAAATCATACGCGAAGGAATGACAATTCGCACCGCAATCTAGTTGCCTTTAGCAATAAACCCACAAGTAGACGTAGGTAGTTACTCTAATGTTGGTTTATTAGTGTATTTTTTCGTTGTAGGTGTGGATCAACTGGGGCGTTGCAATTATTAGGGAATAAAGAAGACTTCTCGACTGACCACCAATGCTAACGAAGTTAGTTTTAAATGTTTTGCAAGTAATCTTAACAATATTAATGAATTGCATGGTGTATCTTGACTACGTCAAACTTGGATTATAAAAATAGAACTTCTGCAATTTCATTTATTAATAAGTCAGAGACCATTTGGTTAGTGTTTACATTTGGGATAGTCAATTTTTCGCGTGGTATTGGGGTGGGGGTGGTAAAATTTTCAGCGAATAGATCGGCTGGTAATTCTACAAAGCGGAAGTCAAGATCTTAGCTTTGGTAAGATTGAGTGAGAAATATTTCTAGTAATATTTTTTCTGATTCCAACATATTATTGCTATTAACTCTTCAGCATGGAAACTGTTCACCTTCAAATTTTCTGAGAAACGTACTTGGAATTCTCAAGGCTGGTATCAACATCCTGACACTTAATAAGTATTACAAGTATTATGGATAAATTCTTGCAGTTCCACTTTATATATTTGCTGAAGATCCGAATACTCATGATTGTATGAATGTTGAGCACAAAATTATTCCAGGGAATGTTTAAATTACAATATCCGTGATTGTAGCGGTAGTAAATGTTACGATTGTCAAAATAAATAAGCACTTGCTGGAAATTTTTAATATCAAAGACGAATTTATTGTCTATTTAATACGAAAACACGAAATTAGTAAAAATAAATATTTCGAATGAATCCTTTGAAAAATTTACCGATATCTTGCAAAAAAAGGTTTTGGATCAATTTATAAGCAACCTGGCCAGGTTGGATGGATCATCAGAAATAAATTTGAACAAGATGGATGTTGCGTTGAATCATTACATCTGAATTTATAATAAACATCTTTAAAGTGTAAATATATTGCTTTTTTGTTTTTTTAAATAATTAACTTTTTTCAAATTTGATTCATTCTTAAAGTGCGGGCGCAGGAATGGCAACATTAGATATTATTATTATGGAATAACTAAACACCCAGCTACTAATGAAGACACGATAACGATATATTAATTCCAAATATGGAACGAAAATTAAGATATTTAACAAAAATAAAAGAAAACTTATACAAAAATCAAACTACTTTATAAAACTGGCAAGCCAGCCAAGCAACCGCAAATTAGCATAAAGGTCAGGGGAAATGTCCAGTGATGTGATTTGCAGCAATTTTCACAAATTTTTAATATTAATGTTTATAAATTGCATTTGCTTGAACAGTTTTCTGATCTATTAGAAATTTATATTGCCAATTAGAAATAAAATCGTTTAGCATTAATCTTTTCATAGATATAATTACTTTAATAAAGACTTTTTTAATTCTTTTAAGAGATTTAATATTAACATAGTATAAAATGCATAATGATAATTAATAACTAAGTTTTATCAAAACTGATAAAACTATCACAAAACTTATCAAATCCATAAACTCGTCTAAATCCCTCAAAATCAAATCTTTTATATATTGAAATATGATCAAAAAAGCTATATTCTTATCACTATTTATTTTTTATTCACATTGAGAAGTTTTTCGTCTTTTAATTCGATGAGTATACCAATATCTCTTTACATGAGATTACATCCAACCTCTATCAGCATTAATTGTTAAAGTTATGAAAGAACGTCAGACTTTTTCTACAGATAAGTTCTCATTGCTTAAAAGTATAATCAAGTATTGTTTTTCCTCATTAGTAGATTGATGTCTATCTTTCAATGGATCTTTTATGTTATTATTTTTATTGAGTTTATCGTTATGTTTTGATTATCGTTATTGTTCTTATTATTAATATTTGAACTCTCATCAAATTATAATTTTTTTTAAAAGATTTATGAGATTAAATATATATAATGCAAAAATAAAAAATGGTGTATTTTTTTATTATATATGGCGAGCACTATAATGCTTCACTAAAAATATAATATTTTTCATTTTATAAAGAATAAATATTGATTAATATACAGCAAAATACAAGAGCTATAACTTTATTTTGATTTCATTTAAATAAAATTAAAATATTAAAATACTACTTTATTTAGTGAATATTATTAACAATTTAATATTAATTAGTAATCAAAAAATAAGAGCTATAATTTTACTTAGAATTTTATTTTATAGTTTTATTAAAATTATAACTTATTTAACACAAAAAATTTTTATAGTATTTTTAGTTTGGTATAAATAAAGTTTTATAAATGCTACAAATTATGAATTATATTATAAAATTTGAATATCTTAAATTTCAATTATTATATAAAATAAAAAATAATTCATATTTAAAATTTGAATATTTTGATTATATTAAATTAAAATTTTAATTCTTGATATAAAATACAAACATGTAGTTCTTATTTCTAGTATAAAATGTTATATATATGTAAAATCAATATTCATTAAATAAAATAGTATTTATATAATGAATTTTAAAAATTAAACATTTAATTTTTAATAAATATTCTAAGTAAAATTGTAACTCTTGTTTTGACTACAAATTATGCTCATCAAATAAAATAGCATTACAATTAACATTCATAAATTTTTTAGTTCTTAATTAAAAATACTTAATGATGAAATCAAATATACAGTGAATCTCTTTATAGTAAAGGCCCTTTCGAGCGGATCTCTCGATATAGTGGAGTTTCTTACACAAAAAAGTCTTGATAAATTTTCTTTCTATATAGTGGAGAATTTGTTATAGTGGAGAATTTCTGAGATTTTACCCCCAAATATAAAGAGAGTGACTGTGTATTTGTACATAAGACATATAAATTTTATATCTAATTAATATGTAATTTATTGAATTATAAATATTTAAAGATAAGACATACAATTATAAAATTGACAAATGTCCCAACCCTTAGGCAGATGAGTATATACCAATTTAATAAATAAGCTTATTTATTTCCGATAAAATTATTATGCAAGCATAACGATAAGAAATACAAATTGGACTTGATTTCTAGGTTTTTTGGCGTTTCACCGAATAGCCTAGTAAATGTTGATGATTCTCTAAATCTTTATCCTTATTTTCGGATTGGCACGTTATTTTGGATACTGGCGACGAGAAGTTATTGTATGTAGATTCAGAATCAATTGAAATGGTGGATATAGAAGATGATAAAGATGGTTCACTGCTATGTCGAAATTTACGCTTTAAAACTATGCTTGATCAAAAATTATTTGACGAGTTAATTTATGAAGCTAATAACGATAAAGATCATCAAATTAACAAACAACCTAACGCTAAAGCGTCTTGTTCTGAATTTGGAGTGGAAATTGATGAAATATACCCACTCGTTGATCTAAGTATTAGTACATGTATAAATATAATTTCAAATAACTGATAAACTATCATAAATAGTGAAATAGCTAAGACACTTACCTCAATAAATTAGTTCTGCGAAGCTTTACATTTTTTAAATCTTCCAAAAGTGCAGTCATGTCTGTGGTTGGATGTGATGGGTGTTGCGGCGATACATAGCATTTATTTGGTTCGATTGTTGCAGCCGCTGTTGTCTTAATATTTTCTTGATTTTTTATTGTCTGTCAAAATAATTATTAGGATTTTTTTGAATAAAAAATGCATTCAATGATAGAAATCGATTACTTTTAGATTATTTCGAAGATGAATAAGAGCTTGCACGGTTAACGATGATCCATGTGTTGTAGTTAGTGGTGGCGGCGGAGGCGGAGGCGGTAACGGAATAAACTGAGCATTATAGTTTTCGTTATGATTTTGTATACTGTTTAGATTATTATTTGTAGCTCGCAACTCTGAAACCTTTTATTAATAATATTACATCAAATTATTGTAAAGTTATGCCAGCTATAAGCAAAATAATATTAAAAGACGTACTATTTTTTCGAGTAAAGCCACTTTTTGGTTTAATTCTTTGATTTCATGCCAAAGATCTTTTTCTCTATTTTTTTTCCCCCGTTCGATTTCGAAAGCACCTGATTTTGATTGACGCTGCTTCAGTGGATTATGTTTGTAAATATTACGATTGGTTTTTTGAAAATTAGGTAGACTTTTTCGATGCCTTCTAGGATCCAAAATTGCTCGAGAGTCTGTGAAATATTTAGTCTTTGCAATTTTTGAGAAAATAAAGAACTTTTATATATACTTTGAATAGAGGAGTATTAATGAAGAAAATCATCATCGGCAAACCTCTCCAGATTCAAAGGTTCTTTTTTGTTGATCGGGTAGTTGAACTAAAAATCCTAATGAAATTCCTTCTTTAAATTTTCCAAAATCATGTCGGGCATTTTTGGTGGTGTCAGCAAAGAAATCCATTATTCCCTTGAAGAAAGAGGAACCAGCAGGTTGCGAAGAAGGTATTGTTTGTAGTTGTTTTTCAGGCATTGAGAGTTATCTATTACAAAAATGATCGTTTCAAAAAAAAATCAAAAAAATGTGAGGTATGAATTTATAATTTTATCAAAATGTCTTATGGTATTTTCAATTTATCATGATAAATTATCCCTACATCATCGCTCCTCTTTTTTGCTTAAAATTAAGATATATCATACAATATTGATGATGATGAATAAGCAATTTCTTAAGTTTTTTACTGCATCACTTTTTTATTTAACTCCTGCATGTTGCTGGACCGAAATGCAAAACATGTGGTTTCATTTAAAAATAAATACGACAAAGACAATAATAAATAATAATTCAAAATTCACATACATAATTAAAATTTCTGGATTTCACGTCGGAAATAGTATTAAAATATATTTAATCATCACCTTTGTAATGTCACCCTATTAAAAAGAGGTGCGGAACGCACTTCCATGTTCCGATATGCTTTATAGTTTCATAAATTCATTAACAATTTTACAAGAATTCAGGATTCTAGGGTGAAATGAATGATTTATTTCTTTTATAAATTCGATTTACTGTGAAATTAAGGGAAGTCTTAACAATAGTGTATTAGTACTAAAATAAATATGCGATATTAAATGTATTATTGACTAATATTTGAAGTCGGTATTTATAAGACTTACAATTCAAAATAAATCCTGTAACGAAACGCACCCCAACTTCTGTAACCAAATTTCCTACACCATCTTGTCTAAAAGTTCTACCAACCAGGAAAATCTCCAAAATCAACAAGTCGATTCGTTGAGTTGATTGATACAAGCTCTACACAAACATTACCTATTATCGTTATCCTTTCTCCTGATTCACATAAACTCAGTAACAATAATCGCCTTTAATGGAAGAAATACACCTAAAATTGAAAAGATCAGCCTGAATTATATAGAATCAATGGATGAATGAACTAGAGAAAATAATATAATAATAATGAGCCAATTAGAAACCTCAGGATTTCCTGAACAAACTCAATAACTATGCTGACTGACAAGGATGATAGAAATAACAATTCTTCGATTGTATATTTACATATACAGTATACCATTTCATCGAAAATGTTTCTCCAGACGCTAATGTATAAACTCCCATTTCAATCGAAACACGACCCCTCAAGAGCAAACGCTTCAAGTCCTGCAAGTGTTTGTTATGTGGGAACACACGGCAGCCCATTAAACAATGCTAATTTCAGACGTGTATTTCGACGAAGAATAACATTTGTCTCTTGCAATACGATTTCAAAGTTCTTTGGCATTAATCCATGTCTGTTTCTATATCTGGATTGTGATTATTCCTGTGTGCTATTTGCCATCTCTTATGCCTCATTGCATCCATGGCTTTTTCTTTGACGACCAATTGCTTTCATATTTAATTTTATGGGTGATGGTTATATGGCCACAGCCAATAGTAGCCAAATAGTCATGGTTAAACCTGGCTAAATGTAACCGCCAATGTTGTAGGGCACAAAAATATTTTCATTACATGTACACTTCCCTCGAAAAGTACCGGTCAAGCTTTCTTAAATTTCCCAAGATCAGACATATTAACAAGCCAAATTTTTTTAAATGAATCCCCTGGTTTTGACGATTAAGTATACGTATACAGTAGGGGACGTAAGTACATGTACATACAACTGTACCACTCCAAATCATGCAAAAATAGAAAAAAATTAAATATTTTTTTCATAATTCTAATGCATGGTATAATCTCCATTGGTCTCTATTAGTGGTGGCGAAACAAGGGTTGTTAATGGAGCAGCATACTCCGAGTTACTACGTATGTATCTAAAATTCACTCCGCTCCGGACCCATAATTATCTAAACCAAACCACTTCATATGACACTCTTGCTTCACATGATCTATTTTAAAATAGTCAATGAAATAGCTTCGGGATTAAAAGTTCAGCAAAAAAATGAATTCGTTTTTTGTTTAAGTCAGCTGAATTAATGATTCTGGTGATTTAGAATATTCCTGATGTGATTCTCCAAGGTAGTGAAAACAGATTTGAAAATATAGTATTTGGATATTGTTAGTGTTAGTTTCGTTATGACAAAAGAGAACAATTGTAGGAACAAGCGGATGTGAGTAAATAAATTCACGATTATTGTTTTCTCAGTCTGAAAATACGTATAGATTGACAAATCATATATTTGTTAGTGAGTATTATGTAATGAACTTAGTTAATTATGTGCAATACGGGCTTTTGCAACTTATTAACAAATTTATCTATCAATCAACCAATGTGTGTTTAATTTATTAAAATAATGCAATTTTTTTATATAACTATATTTATTAAAACGTCTCATAAACATAAAATATCTACTTTGAATAAACAAGTTTTATTGGATAATGAACCTACTGAGAATGAGTCTGAGGGTACTATAGAAAAAACATGATGATTCAGCTCCAATGACTTCACATGAAACTTGAGTTTGGGAAGAAATTTAATAATAAAAATGAAGTTACAAGCTTCATTACAAATCTTCAAATATTACAGGTACTTGTCAAACATTTACATAAAAAACACAATAATAAAATCAATGATCAGCAAAATACTACAAATAGACATAAAAGCAAGTTATATTTAAAAACAAACAAATGATACCAACAACTTACAAATACAATTGTATATTTTATTATTCGTTATCAACTTCTCTTTGCAATTGTAATCAAGTATTTTGCTAACTATAAAAAATGAAATAATGGATCACTATGATAATATGCATGATAAAATATTAAAGAAGCTTGAAAAAAACTAAAAAAAACATCAATTATCTGTGATATTTGTATTTTAATTACTATGCAATTTATCTTGATTTAATAGAACACTTTTTTGCTTGATCATTATCATTTTTTTAAATAATATACTAATAACATAAATAATTAAAAAATATAAAAATTCTAAAAATATTCACATAATAGTAAAAATTTCTCTAATATTATTTTACTTTTATATATATTATTTCACTTTTTCAATATTTCACTTTTTTACTTTTTATATTTATATAATTATTTAGTTCACTTTTTGTAATTTTAAAAAATATATAAATAAAAATATTTTTTAAATTTTAATTTAATATATTGCAAATAAAAAATAAAATTCTCTTAACAAAAATTTTTTTAACTAATATTCATTTTTTATTATATATATTAAAACTTGTATATAAGTAAATTATATTATATCAAATAAAATACTAATAGCTTTATATTATATTTTATTAAACAAATTGTTGTTATTGATTTTGAACTTTAAATTGTATTGTGCTAAACAAATTATTATTATTAGATTATTAGCTTTATATTATATTATACTAAACAAATTGCTATATGAAATTATTGATTTTGATTAAGTATTTTAATTTTGTTATTTGAAATTTAATTATTAATAATATACTTACTCATAAAAAGAACTAAGTGAAAGAATTTTTGTTATTATTATTACTAATTATATTTTTTTAGTTCTGAAATATTATATATAAAATTTCTTTATTATTTTCTTTTAAGTTATTATATTTTTTTTTATTTTTTTGATTTTTACTCTTTTATAATTATTCTATATTATTACTTAAATAAATATAATTTTTATAATAATTAATATAAAATCTAGATATCTCTTTTTTTTAATATTTATTTATCAATTTAATATTCTTTTCCAATTTAGATTTAGATTTATAAGATAATTTAATAATTAGTAAATAAACTTATAATATTTTGTATTCTTTCTGTGAATTTTTAAAGATATCTCTTAGAATTCAAACTTTTTTTATAAATAATTATTATATTTTTATTGAAGAATCTATTAACTTATATTTCAATACTTATCTAAAAGCTCAATATCAAGAAATAATACTGTTACCGTAATAACATAAATTTCTCTAATTCGATAATTTTTCTTTGATTATGCGAAATTTCCTTTTTCTTAATTTTTATAATTTATTACCTGATTATCATTATTTTTATCCAATCGTATAATTATCTTACTTTATATTATTACCCTAAATCTTATATTTATACC